CTCTATCCTTATGGCACTTCTGGTGGTTGTAGCTCCTATAACTTCTCTCTTGGGCCTGCTCAATCCTTACAGCTTTCCTTGGATGATCCATGCTCCTAGTTTCTCCAAACTTTTGGAGTCTCCATGACGCCTTTGACTTCACTCTCACAACTTCACATATTGTTTTCACAGGGACACATTGCCTGGCCTCCCAGTCCTTCTGAAATCAAGATGGAAGTCTTTTTAACCTCAGAATGCTTGCATTCTGCATGTACCTAAACCCAGTGCCACATGGATGATGCCAAGGTCTGCTGCCAGCTGGAGCAGTAGCCATGTTTTCTTCTCTCTTGGCTATAGGGGCCCCATGTCTGGATTACTGAGAATTCTGAATCTGATAGTGAGGAACAAATTCTCTGTGTTGCTGCCAATCTGGAACATGGTGCTCTTTGGTTTTCTTCTCAAAGCAAAGTCTTTCACTTTTGTAGTTTTGAGGCTGCAAAAGGTAAAGACTTGCTGCTTCTTGTGATGCCTTCAGGCTCTCTTATCTATTCTTTTGTTTCTTCTCAGCAATCAAGGTCTCCTTTGCTCTATCTTTGTAATTCACAGTTTACTGGAGCTTCCTTTCTGGTCAAACTTATAACACTTTAAATCATTCTATCGATCTCTTTGCTCTTGATTCTCAGCATAGATCTGGATAAAAACCCTCAACAACAGTCTCCAACATTCAACTGCCTTGAAATTTCTTCTGCCAGATTAATTAGTCCATCACACTTGTTATGGATTAGAAACTGGTGGTCAATTTAAGGCCAGCTGGATTACATCAGCATGTTGCTGAGGAAAGTTGCCAACATAAATGGAAATGTGGAGAAGGGGACATTAGGATGTTGAGGTGTTGCAGGTTCTCCTACGAGTTGCTGTTTGAGCTGTTGGTTCTCTTGAAGAAGGCTTGGTCTTCACATTGAGCATTGCTTCCTGGCTCTGGAGGGGAAGATGTGTGCCACTTGGTCTCCAGGATGAACTTGTCATGCTGGCTTCCTGGCATGTACTGGAATGTGCTTATTGTCGGAGGAGCTTGGGGCCTCTGTGTCGCTGAGGATGGCTGTGGTTCTTCCCAGGACAGCCCTGGTCTTTGTTGTGAATTTGACTTTTTGGCTCCAGCGTAGAACCCGCATCCCACTAGCACAGCTCCTTCATCCCACTGGCATGGACTTTCTGGCTGTCACTGCTGACCTTTGGGCCTTCCTGGCATGGATATGTAAAAAAGACTGGTCTGAGTCCTTCTTGTGGGCTATGGACCTCCAGTTGGACTTATGGGAGGCATTGTCATGATCTCTGGGTTTTCATCTGGACTCATGTGGGACATTGCTATGGGATTTAGGCCTTTGACTGCATCTTTGGGGTTGCAGATAGATTTCCTGAAGTTTTATGTGTTAACTCTGGGTGACCATCATAAAAATAATATTATAAATTCTATGTCCTGATTCTAATTTTTCTGTGCACAATCCCTGACTACAACAACACTTAATTTTAGTCTTAGGCAAAATACCTGGACACTAGCAAAATGCAGACAAACTTTCTGCCAAGCCATAACATGCATCATCTGGACTCCAACAACCAATATAGTCTTTCTACCCAGCAGAAAATCTCCTGGTCTTACTGGGAGCTTTTCTACCAGCCTTCTGGTCTTTTGAGCTCTGATTAGAATCTCTCACACAGAACAGCCTAAAGCATTCTAGTTCTACTCTTTCAGGCAACATCTCTGAATCTTTCCAAACTTTTCCCGTAAGCCATTCCCAAAGGCTCTTGAACCACATGGTCAGGTACAGTCACAGCAATGACCCCACTTCTCTGGTACCAAATTCTGTCTTGGTTACCTTTCTCTCAATGCTGAGACAAAATGCCCAACATCCATAATGAAACTTTATTTAGCTCACTGTGGAGATTTCAGTCCAGAATTGGCTGGCTCCAAAGCAGGGTAGCTCATGGCAGAGGGCAACAATTCATGGTGCTGGAAGACAACAAATGCAATAGGAGCCAAAGGAATGAATGCAGAGAGAAAACTCTTTCTTATACTGTATGTAGGTCACATCCAACCCAGGGTGTGTATAGCACTCACACACATTATCCCAGGATTGGACCATGGATCTATCACAAATTCATGAGTGCATGAGGTTTTGTGGGGACATCCCCACATGCTATGGACACAACCATAGCATGATCTTAATGTTTGTGGATCTGCTTCTCATCTGTTCATTGGGGCCAAATAAATTTCTTTGACAATCCTGTGTGAATATTGTGACTGTCAATCGGGAGGATGGATGTAAAAATCCTCTGAAGTTCCACAAGCGTAAAATATATTAATCACATCCATGCACAAGAGATAGACATACCTAACTCACTAAAATTTGAATTTCCTCTCTTGAAAATTAGCACCATGAAAGGAATAAATGCAAAAAAGTGAATTTCCTTGAAAATAGTATTAGCACCATGAAAGGAATAAATGCAAAAAAGTGAATTTCCTTGAAAATAGTATTAGCACCATGAAAGGAATAAATGCAAAAAAAAAAAAAAAAAAAAAGGTGAAAGTATCCCCAAACAGAATAGTATATTTTTAGGTTGTCATGAGAAAAGCTAAGTTGTAACAGTCATGACAGCTCCATGATTCCCTTTTCATCATTTGTGAGTCAGGGAAGGCAGAACTTAACTTCCAACTCACAAATTTATGGTGAGTATCAATGAAAAAAATGTATGTGTATAGTGACTTTCTCATCTATGGGACAAAATATCCAATATTTACAACTTAAAGTAGCCAGGAAGAAGAGGGAGACACTGGCTAGGGAGAGAGAGAGAGGTTGGCTAGGAAGAATGTACCCTTCCAGATATTCTGCAGCGACTTGCTTTTTCTGATCAGCACCTCTTCTGAACACCTGAGACTTTTGAGAAACATTTCAGATCTAACACATATCATTCTGACCCTAATACCCAAAAAACTCACGTCATAGATTATGCTAAATGTATCTGGTCCATTTTTTTTTTTAAAGACAGAGTCTGGCTTCTATGTAGTTCAGACTGGCTGTAAGTAGCCCAGACTATCCTCAAATTCTTGGCAATCCTCCTGCCTCAGCCTCCTGAAAAAAATGTATGTGTATAGTGACTTTCTCATCTATGGGACAAAGTATCCAATATTCATAACTGGTTTGCAGGCATGTGCCACCACCACACCCAGTCTATTTAGTCTATTTTATGAGTCACCAAAGTCTGAGAATACTCCTATTTTTGGTTATTCACATAAACTTATATATTGTAGGGGTAGCTCAGTGGCAGATCCCACCACTTACCAAGCATGAGGCCTTGGGTTCAGTCCTTAGTACCACACACACACACACACACACACACACACACACTAAAAATGGTATTTGTGTTCTATTTCAGAGGCACAACTTTGCTGAGGGAGGAATGATATTTCTTTTCTTTCTTTCTTCTTCTTTTTTTTTTTTTTTTTTTTTTTTTTTTTTTTTTTTTTTTTTTTGGTCTTTTTGAGAGACCGAGTCTCTCTGTGCGGTTCAGGCTGGCCTTGAGCTCACTTTGTAGCCTAGGCTGGTCTCGAACTTGCAACGATCCTCCTCCCTCAGCCTTCCCAGTGTTGGGATTACAGGCGTGAGCCATCATGCCTGGCTCTTAGGAACGATATTTCACCCATTCATATTATTTACATTGATACATCAATTTAAGTTTAGAAAGGCTGCAAAACTCACTTGTGATGGTTTTGACTAAATACCTGAGAAAATCTTCGAGATGATATTTCACAGACTGCAAAATGGAAAAGCAGAGGAATTATATGATTTTGTCAGAATTCACGGAGTTCGTGAGTCACAGGGCTGGAACACAGAATCAGGGTGTTTGACTCTACTGTCCTTGTTGGGTGTTGGGACAACCTTCGGCTACAGGTGTTGAATGAAATCATGGGATATTTAGACAACTAGACTGGATTGGGAACTGTACGTATCTAACAGGAAGGAAGAGAAAGGTGTTAACAGGGTGACTAGGAATTAGCAACTGCATTATGATGGACACTTAGTTCCAGTGCAGAAAAATAGGCTTTTGCCTCCTCCTGCCTCAGTGGCATGCCAGTGGTAACCCCTACTCAACCCCTGTCACCGTACTTTTAAAACCCGTTGCTGCTTTACATATTCAGGCTAAGCTTCCACTTTTGCCTGCCCAGTCTTGGAACGGACAGGTTCCTGCTTCTCCCTAATGGGCACTGGAGAGGAGGACTGCTCATCAGGAAGAGGGAAACTTTCCCAAGGCAAAAACCTTACTCAGAGAGAGAAGCCAAGAGGCAGATGGGACACAGGAAGGAAGGTTCCACGGAAGGCCAAGGGAGGACTTCTCCCGTTTCTAGTTACGCAAATATCAGAGGGCACGAACCCTAGGGGAAGTACTTGTGCTCTCAGGTTAGGGCCAGCTCAAGGTCATCTTTTGCGGCGTCTGGCCGTGGGCTGCCTCTGCAATTTAATTTCTCTCCTCCATCAGCCACCAGCATCCTCTCTTTTCCCTTCTCCACTCGAGCGCGCCCCTGGGCTCACTGCGTGCTTGAAAGTGGGGCTCGCTGGCGGAGGAGGGTTGTGCAGGGTAGCTCAGGGAGGGCGGGTTCCCATCCCAGTTCGCGCGAGTTCCTGGCCTATGAAGCTGGGAGCCTTTGGTGAACCCCCTGCGTCCCGCCGCCTGCGCAGGGGCTGCGGAGCACGAGGCTGGCAGGCCGAATGCGGGCTCCGGCCAACTCGCGCAGACCCGCCCGCTTCCAGCCGCAGATCCCCACGCTCCCACGCGCGGGGAGGGCGGCCCCGACGGGACAGCGGAGTGGGGAGTGGGGAGGGCGAGGTCGGCGCGCGGCGGGCGCTCCGGGGACCCGCGCTGCCCGCTCCAGCCGCGCGGGTGCACGGCGGCGGGCCGCATCCTCGGTCGCGCGATCGGGGGGCTCGCGGAGAGCCAAGCGTCGCCGAGGCACAGCCCCGGCCCCCCGGCAGATGCCATCACAACAACAAAGAGCTCGCTGAGCCCCGCGCGGCGGCGACAGCTCGCCCGGAAGCCGGGGCGCCAGCTCGCGGAGCCGCGCGGCCGCGGGAGGACGCGCGCGGGGGTGTGGGGAGGCGCGGGGCCGAAGATGGCCAGGAAGAGGAGGCCCCCCAGCGCCCAGGGTGAGTCCCCCGCGCCGAGCCGCGCAGCAGCCCGCGCGCTCCCGGAGACGGGGACGGGGACTGGGACCCGGACGGGGATGGGGATGGTGGCAGCCGCCGAGCGCCAGGCTGGCGCGGGCAGAGTTCGCCCGCGGGAGAGGGCGGGGACCTCGGTGCGGCTCAGCTCCCGCCTGCCCTGGCGCGCGGGCCGGAGTTGGTCCCCGCCTGTGACCTGGGGAAACCGGGGACTTTCTCTCCCCCCACCCCTTCCCTGCTCCGCGAGCTCGGGCGTCGATCTGTTGCACCTTGTCCCTGCAGCCACGGGGAGCGGAGCGACTCTGGGATCCTGGCGCCCTCGCGCTCTCTGCCTCAGTCTTTCTGCCTCTCTGAGTCTCGTTTCCCTCTTTCCAGCGTCCCACTCCTTCCGTCCCTCATCCCGAGGGTCACAAGTTCCGCATCCCTTTCTCTAGCTCCCCAGGAGGCTGGTCCATTTGCCTTTCCCTCCCCTCGAGGGTCGGGGACACCGGCTGCCGCCCGGGGGTCCCTGCAGGTCCCCACAGCCTTCCCGGGCTGTCGTGGCTAGGTGAGCCGGGACTCGGGCTCTGTGGCCGCCCTGTTGCTCCTCTGCGTCCAGGGCTTCCGAAGTTGGAAAGTTCAGGGGAGAAAGGTTGGCAGCGGGGACCAGGCAGAGCTTGTTGCTGGGGTGACTCGAGGCCACGCCGCAGAGTCCGAGGCGGGACACGGGAGCGGGGCGTCCGTGGGATATATGGGGAGCGAAGCTGGGTTCTGGCAGGGACCGAGCCGCCCTAGCCAGGGCGACGCTGCCTGCAGCGCGGCAGAGAGATGAGGCCGCCGGGCACTGCGCGCGGGGAGGACGGCTGTGCATCCAGGAACCGACCTGGGGCGCAGCCGAAGAGTGAGGGGCGGCCTTTGAAGATGGATCACCCCACGGCCCTGCTGGCCTGGAAGATGGAGACTAGTGACGCCAGCCTTGGGATATCAGAAGAGATCCGTGGCTCCGAGCTAAGAGCTGGAGGGTATTAGTGAATATATAGCAGGACTGACTAGGTCTCCAAGCAGCGCGCTTGGTTTTGGCGTTTTTTTTTTTTTCTTCTTGCTTCCCAAGTCTTGCTTGTGCGAGCTTAGCTACACTCTAGAGGTCACTATGGGGACACAACTTTATCTTGTGGCTCCAGCTTGCAATTTAATTGTTGCAGACGACTCAAAATAACTTACTGGAAAGGGTTAAAAGCCGTGTTTCTTAATTCCTTGCAAAACCTTACTACAGGACGCTGGGGATTTTTTCTTCCCGAAACTACAACCTACATACAACATTTCATTGCAGCGTATTTCCACCGCTTTTTTAAAAGGGCAGTCTTTAAACCTCTGATTCCCCCATTAATTAATACAGGTCTATAGAGGAAGACGAGTAAAAAATGAGAGAATATAATCATTCTCAAACACTTTCCTTACCATGATATATAAAAAAAATGAGCCTTAGACCACGTGGATCTGGTGCATTAGGTACAGTTTTGGTTTGCTCCTTTTTTATGGAGTCGAGTGGCACGAAAGATTGGATTTCAGCAGGGCTGATGTGCCTGTCCGTTGGCGGGAATACATTTCAAGCCCACCCCAAACCTTGCACATTGTAAATGGTCCGTGATTAGTACATTTTTTTTTTTTTTTTTTTGCAGTTTTACAGTACATGGCAGCTGGAGACAGTCTAACCGTAGAAATTAATGGTTTTAGTAGAAGCACAGAAAGATACAAAGGAGACCAAACTAATGAGCTCTGAGCAGGTGTCCGATATTTGGTGAACAAGACACCTTCTTTGCACTCCTGCCTCCCCCTAAGACACCAAGAAATTTTTGTTTTGTATGTCAAGACGGAATCGTATTTTCTTAAATATATTTAATTTGATAGTGATATATTGGGGAATATAGCTAATAGAGTTTTGTCATTGAAGTGTTAATAGCCAAGCTCCAAGTCTCAAGAAATTTCATTGTAATTCTTTAAACATAAGGTTTTCTCATGCTATGTTTTTCTTAAAGAAAAAGTTACCTTATTTTGCTCCTATTGACTTGTGTTTCTCTCTTCACCCCCTAAAGTTAAACTTGGGAGTTTTTAAAAGATCAGTTCATTTATTATTATTATTTTTTAGAACAAAAAAAATCCTTCAAGAATCCTTGGAGTTTCATTTAGCAGAATCAGTTGTTGATATTTTAAAGTTGATAGAAGCAAACCTAGGAAGCTGCAATCCATTGACTTACCTAGTTTTGCCTTTTATGAGGGCCGTGGGTAATTTAAGGCCAGACTCACATTCCTGGGCTGGATTGGGGTGTGGGGCATCCCCAGGATTAGAGGGAGGACTCCCATACATTTTGTAGCTGCCCACAATTTCTAGGCTTTTTTGGATGTCAGGCTACTGGGTGAACTTTGTTGGGTAATAAAAGCTTAACACTATTCCACACTGCATTGATTATCCTTTTATGGGAGCTGCTTCTCAGCAACACTGCAGTGGGGACAGACCATTTATTGGATCTTGTGACAAGGCAGTCTCTCATTGACTTGTAAAGTCCCCCCAGTAGAGGCTGCACATCTATAACTGTTAGGAATTGGCCAAAAAAAAAATGCATTTTCTTAATGGGGGCATAAGAATAAGACCTGTTGGTGGCATTTTTCAAGGAAATACTAACATTTATTTATAATATCTAAAGGACAGCTTTTCAAAAAGGCAAATGGAATCTTAATTCAATATTTTATAATGTTGGAATAAAAGTCCTGTAGTCTATGACCAATTAAATCTTACAAATATAAGTTACATTGTTATAGTGATGTAAATACCAACCCCCTTTCAGACATTAGTACAAGGATATGTATACTGAGCATAGTTTCTGTGCAAGAATGCAGTGATGAATGAGGGGTTCAAAAGAGGATCTGGAAGGGTCAGGTAAACAAATATATGAGCCAGAATACTTCACATAGTGAATAATACCATGAAGAAATAAAGCAGGATGACATCCTAGAAAGCTATTGTGAAATTACTTTTGATTGTCTGAAGAGGTGGTAATTGCACTAAAAAACAAATGATGACGAGTAATTTCCATGTCAAGAGGTGGAACACAGCACTACAGACCTTCAGGCAGGAATGAGGTTGCAGCTCAGCAAGGTCCCAGGCAGCGGAAGGTGGACCTGCCTGCAGAGTAGCATGTACAGTAGAGCTAGACAGACAGAGGCGAGATCTTTTTGGACATAACGAGTAATGTAGGTTTTTTTGTTTTTGGTGGTACTAAGAATTGAATTTAATGACTTTGCACTGAGTTACATTTTCTGGGTCTTCCCCCATTTTTTCTTTTTCTTTTTTATATTTTTAGGTTTGAGACAGGTTCTCCTTAAATCACAGATTTCCCAGGCTCAGCTTGAAGTTTGTTGCTTCAACCTCTTAGAGTGTTGAAATGATAGGCTTGCATCTCCATGGCTGGTAGGAGCAGATTTCAAGTCAAGTGGAAACCAATGAGATACTTATTTGATGTTTGGGGCTGTGTTTCTATCTTCAGGGCTGATTTCAAGGAAGATAACTTTCCTCCATTAATCCTTAGGCTAAGCAATGTGGCTCAGTAGACTTCACTTTTATAAACATTCCAGTTATACCTACACATCATCTTTTACATACCTACACATCATCAAGAACATTGCCAATAATTTAGGATGAGATATTGACAGTGTGTTTAGGAGTATCAGTTTAAAAAAACAATTCTGGAGAGAATGAGGACTAATTTAATATTTTGGTAGAGTTGATCAGATTGGTCACCTACCTAGAAAGCCACTCAAAGCTAGTAAATCTTAAGAGAAATATATTGGAAGAATAGAGTGGGGGATTCTACATTGTGTAGCAGGTGGAATGTGGAAGCTAGCATGGGGGCTCCTAGGTAACAGAGAGAGGTCCATGGAAGGACAATGATGTTGGGAAAAGAACTCAGGGAAGCTCTTAAGACAGTAGCAGCTAATTCATGATTTTGCTGAGAAAAGAGGACGCCTGATGTGATCGTGTTCCGAGAGAAACACTCTAATCGAAGTACAAAGTTCAAATCAAGGTACCTGTGCTCTTGGCTCTCCTTTTACTAGAGAAGCAGTTGTAACAGTAAAAACAAACAGGATTTCAGAAGACAGTTTTCAGATAGTTTTGCTTCATCATGATTGTGTTCTTATGAATTTCAAAATACAAATGAAAATATAATAATACTGACAATAACTATCCACTATTGGAAGGAACTAGTTAGCAGGAAAATTATGCTCTTGGGTCTCAAATTTTATTATAACAATGTTGGCAAAGAAGAGATGGGTTTGTTGGATGATTCTTTTCACCCTAAACATTTGTGAGTAGAAAATGCCATGATATTTAGGGAAGATATAAATAATGGTTATTTTAAAGCTCTCCACTGCCTCCTTCCACCTCCAAATGGTCTGCTTCTTTGCCAAGGGGTGATCATGAAAGACATACTAAGAATTTCTGTACCTTTAGGGCTTTGCTAACTCCACCCCCACTTTGCACTGCAAGCAAATCTTTGGGGCTAGAAAAGCTGGTAGTACCTCAGAGACTATGTCAGTGGCCCAAGTGATACTGTAACACAATGTGTTTATGACATCAGTTTCTTTTCACAGCAGTGAGTGTCATAGATGGTTAGCAAGAAGACTCAGTATTCACAGTTGCTGACAAAGATACAGGGAGAGAGATCAGTGAGGTTGCTCAACATAGTCTGTATTTTTTAAAAAATGAAGATTATTACTTGAAGGTAGTGTATATAAGTCAAGAAATACACATATGTGTGTGTGTGTACAAGTGTGTATATGTGTTGAATTCCTTATTACATAATGACTTCCCCCAAATATATCAAAATACAAACTGAGCATCTTTTTATATACATACTGGTATACATGCATATGTTTGTGAAGAGAGTGAGAGAGCTTTGTTCCCCTTTATAGTCAGACTTTACTCTTTGTAAATGTGAGAATGGTGACAT